GGCCTCTACCCCTCCTACTTGTCTGTGCTCCGCTTTTAGTTACTTGAAGGAACACTGCTTACTTTTGACTCTGGCCTACCTCTTGCCTGGCACATGCTTCCTTCTCCCCCTCACCTGGTCTATTCCTACTATGTTCTCAGCTTCAGCATCACTTCCTTATGCCCCTGCAGCCTGGGCACTCCTTCTATCTGATCTCTTAGTACTGTACTGCCTTTATTGCTCTGACTGTTTATTCAGTCGTCCATCTTTTCTGATAAATTGTTAAGGACAGGTCCTTGGAACATGTATAGTCTATTTTCTTTACCTTCTACATTCAGTAACTTCAGCACAGTGTTTGGCACCAAGACAGAATTTTTAATAGCTAAATTAAATACATCTAAGAAATGTAAACTTTATGAGGCAGGAACTATATCAATTTACTAACCATTGTATCTCCAGTACTCTACTCAGAGCCTAGCATATTATAATATTTGTGAGTGAATAATTAAATAAGTAAATGCCACCCTTGACTGTAGTCAGTCTCACTGTATTTGCACAAGATTCCTGTAATGAACAGGCACTATATATAACACTCTCAGGAGCTTCTTGTATTTCCCTACATGTTATGGCCCAAAATGCAAGGCTCTGGGAACTTAAACTATGGCTGGAAATGAGCTCAAGCTGCTGTGCACCTGTTTGGATTCAGTATCATCATGCCATTTTTATAAGCAACTAAAAGCTACCAAATTCACAGATCTTTGCAAATAATACTTCCAATTCTCCCTGTCCTCATGTTTTCATTCCTTTCTTCCCCACCCAGGTAACTACATTGTTCTAACCTTAACAAGCTGCACTGAGTGGAAATATATATCTATGAAACAAAAAAGGCCTATATGAAAACAAAGGACCTAGCAGACCCCTGAGTAGGTGAAAAGTGAATCCCAAAGATTAAAGGTGGATAGTGGGGTGGATATTTCTGTACATTAAAACAGAAAAAAATAAAATTAAGTCAGGAAAAAAAACAATTAAAAAATAAAAACATATCCCTAAGTGGTGGTACAAGTCACAAATATAGCATATTCCCTGGTTGGAAGGATAGGTAATAAACTATGGTCAAACCTTAAAGCTATTTTGAGGGTCAGGAGGATATTTTATCATTATAATTAAGGTTAAATGCTTACAAAAGCTTTAAAGAAACTTACACAGTGGAAAAGTTCTATTTCATCAACCAGTATTCTGTATACTTAGTATGAATAATCATGCCAGAAAAATTATAATAATTAAAATCATTTTACATGATACTGATTTTAATATCAAGAATGTATTTATCATTAGATGCACATAACATAATTGTTACATGTACTCATGCATAGAGTGTAATATAGGCTACCATTTGCAACAAAAACAAAAGTGCAAACAAAAAAATCTTCCTGCACTTTAAAAAATAATCTAAAGCAAACAATACTGACAAATATATAAAGTGATGAATCATCACAGCTATGCAATTTTAACATACGAAGAACTCAAGAGCATTTCTATATTTTTCTAAGGTCACTTATGGGCTATTTGTCTGAATTATGCCAACAAATTGGACAAGCTAGCAGATAAAGATAAATTCCTAGAAACATAATTTTCTAAGACTGAACGAATAGAAACAATTGAACAGACCAATTACTAGTAATGAAATTGAACCAATAATCATAAAACTAACAAACAAAAGTTCAGGACCAGATAGATGCCTTCACAGATGAGTTCTGCCAAACATTTAAAGAAGAGATAATACCTATCCTCCTAAACTATTCCAAGAAACTGAAGGGGAAGGAATACTTTCAAATTCATTCTATGAAGATAGCATTACTCTTTAACCAAAATGAGACAAAGACACTACAAAAAAAAATTACAAGCTAATACACTTCTGATGAACATAGAACCAAAAATATTAGCAAACCAAATTCAAATATACATTTCAAAGATTATTCACCACAAGTAAGTGGTATTTATTCCAGGGAAACAAAGATGGTTCAACAGCTGCAACTCAATCAGTGTGATATACCACATTAACAAGGAAAGCTAAAAAACACATGATCATAACAGATGCTGAGAGAGCTTTTGGCAAAATTCAATATACGTTTATGATTAAAAATCTCAAAGTGGATATAGAGGGAACATACCCCATATTACAGTCCATATATGACAGATCCACAACTAAAATCATACCGATTGGTGAAAACTAAAAGTTTTCCTTTAAGATCAGGAACAAGACAAGGATGGCTACTATCACCACCTTTATCCAACATAGTATTTGAAGTCCTACCCACCAGAATCAGACAGAAAAAGACAGAAAAGGCACCCAGATTGGTAAGAAAGAAGTAAAACTATCACTATTTGCAGTGACATGACACCATATATAGAAAACCCTAAAGATTCCACCAAATAACTATTTGAACTAATGAATTCAGTAAAGCTGAAGTATATTAAATCAATATACAGAAATCTGCTGCTTTTCAATATACAAAGAACAAAGCAGAAAAAGAAATTAAGAAAACAATCCCATTTACAATTGCATCGAAGAATAAAATACCTAGGAATAAATTAAATCAAGGAGGTGGAAAACCTAAACTCTTAAAATTTGAGACACTGATGGAAGAAATTGAAGATGACATAAATAAATGGGAAGATATTCTATCTCATGGATAGAAAGAACTGATATTTTTTAAATGGCCTTACTACTTCAAGTAATCTACTGATTCAATGCAATCTCTATCAAAATACCAATGTCATTTTTCACAGAACTAGGGAAAACAATCCTAAAATTTGTATGGAACCAAAAAGACCCTGAACAGGCAAAGCAATCTTGAGAAAGAACAACAAAGCTGGAGGCATCATGCAACCTGATTTCAAACTATACTGTAAGGCTATGGTAATCAAACAGTATGTTACTGGCACAAGAACAGCTACATAGACCAATGCAACCAAATAGAGAGCACAGATAAATTTGCACTTATATGGCAATTAATTTTTAACAAAAGAGGCAAGAATATACAATGGAGAAAAGACAGTCTCTTCCATAAATGGTATTGGGAAAACTGGACAGCTACATGCAAAAGAATGCAACTGGATCACTGCCTTACACCATACAAAAAAATAAACTCAAAATGGATTAAAGACCTCAATGTGAGACCTGAAACCATAAAACTCCTGTAAGAAAATACAGACAGTAACTCTTGGACATTCGCATTAGCAACTTTTTTGTGGATCTGTCTCCCGAGGCAAGGGAAACAAAGGCAAAAATAAACAAGCTGGATTACATCAAACTAAGAAGCTTCTGCACAGCAAAGGAAACCATCAATGTAACAAAAAGGCAACCAACTGAACGGAAGAATATATTTGCTAATGATAAATCTAATAAGGGGGTTAATATCCAAAATATTAAAGAACTCATAAAACTCAACACCAAAAAGCAAATAATCCTATTGAAACATGGGCAGAGGCCGTCAATAGCCAGATAACAGACACATGAAAAGATGCTCAACACCATGAATCATCAAGGAAATGCAAATCAAAACCACAATGAGATATCACCTCACACCAGTCAGAATGGCTATTGGCAAAAAGACAAGAAATAACAAGTGTTGGTGAGGATGTGGAAAAAAGGGAACCTTCCTACACTTGTGGTGGGAATGTAAATTGGTGCAGCCACTATGGAAAGCAGTGAAATGGCTCCTCAAAAATTTAAAGTAGAAATACTGTATGACCTAGTAATTCTACTTTTAGGTACTTATCTGAAGAAAACAAAAACACTAATTCAAAAAGAATATGCACCCCTGTGTTTAGCAGCATTATTTATAATAGCTAAAATATAAAAGCAACCTAAGTGTCCACTGAGAGACAGCTGCATAAAGGAGACATGGTGTATATACACAATGGAATACTGTGTATATACTGAAATTCATTAAAAAGTCATAAAAAAAGAATGAAACTTGCCATTTGTGACAATATGGATGGACCTAGAGGGTATTATACTAAGTGAAATAAGTCAGAGAGAGAGACAAATACTGTATGATTTCACTTACATGTGGAATCTAAAAAAAAAAAATGAACAAACAAAACAGAAATAGACTCATAAACACAGAGAACAGACTGGGGATTGCCATAGAGGTGGGGCAGAGGGGGATGGGTGAAATAGGTAAAGAGTATAAAAACATACAAACTTCCGATTATAAAATAAAGAATGCATGGGCATGCAAAGCACAACATAGAGAATACAGTCAATAATATTGAAATATCTTTGTATAGTGACACATGGTAATTACATCTATGGTGGAGAGCATTTCATAATGTATATAATTACCAAATCACTATGTTATACATGTGAAATGAATATAATACTGTATATAAACTATACTTCAATAAAAAAAAGAACTTGATGTGGAAATAACCTAAGTGACATTAAGAAGTTGTGAAGCAAGCACAACAAGCAGAGGATGATGCTAGTAAGATGACAGTTCAAAAACCACACCGGAAATGGTGTACATTACATGCACCAACTACCCTGCAACATTTGCTATTCCTTAAACAAAAATAAATCACTGTGTCCTTCTCCCACTATATCATTCTTTTTCTATTCAATTTTCCTGCAGTTACCTGAATGGGTCACTCTGAAAACACCTGACCAGTTAAAAAGAAAAAACTTGATCAACTTATAGGGGGATGTACCTTAAAGCAAATTAGCCACAGTTATGAATCAGTGTGTTAACATCTGTATGCTCCATCTTTATTGAAATTGTAGATTTTTCTCTAAATTTTCAGAAATTATGAAAAGCTACAGGAAGCAGACAGAATATACTCATTTAAAAAAAGAGTACCATATAAAAGCACAAATGACAGAATGAGAAATGAATGTATGTGCAAAATCATAATATTCTCACTAGCTGTTAGCAAAAGCATTATCTCAATATGCGTGGCTGTAATACGGTAGTCATACCATCGTACAATACAATCACTAAGAAGTTCAGTCTTACCTGTATTGCGAGGGCACGGGCTACAAGGCCTCTAAGGTACTGTAAGGGATCCTCTGGGCCTTCCCACTTGCTCTGCCATGTGAGAGGACACTGCAGTTTAAAAAGGGTTCAAATTAAGTTTACATATACAATATTTCATATAAAAGACCTTGTAACATTTAGTGTGATGGGAAAATATTTTGGCATAATTCACATTATGTGTATCATGAATTCATTCATTAAGATGTCTTTTTTCTTTGATCTTATCTCACTAAAATTGGATAGAATTCAATGATTATAAATATGAAAAAAATAAGAAGGATAAATTGATAAAGTTGTTTCTCTAAAAGGAGATTGTTTAAAGTAAAAATATTGAAAAAACACATATAAACTGGTATTTTAAAAATTGCCATGTTTTCTTGAAACAATATTTAGTGCATAATGAAATCAAATTAGATTTGACAAATTCATTTTATACGTGGTAAAGATAAAAACAAAAAACAGGCTTGATCCCTACAGAATTTCTTTAAACTATAAATAGTATAATAGAAATTTTATCCCCAAAACAACATTGAAATAAATGATAAAAAGAGAATAAAAAGAAAATATTCTAAAGTTAAATAAATAACACCATTTTTTAAATTAATTTTATTTTGGTATTATTAATCTACAATTACATGAAGGACATTATGTTTACTAGGTTGCCCCTTCACCAAGTCCCCCCCACATACCCGTTCACAGTCACTGTCCATCAACATAGTAAGATGCTGTAAAACCACTACTTGTCTTCTCTGTGCTGCACAGCCCCCCACTGTGCCTCCCCCACACTATACATGTAAATAACACCATTTTTAAAAGTTATTTTTTAAATATCTGACTTTTTGTTAACTCCATTAATACCTACTTCCTTGCTTCACAATATTCTTTAAGTTCATTTTCATTGTAATATTATACCTTTCTGTAAGAGTTTTCTGGATTTTCCAAATATTATGTAAACATCATTCAACCTTCTTATTATCTTATTTATTCTGAAGCGTAGTAATAAAGAGAGGACATTAATTTTATACTCTAAAACACTGTCTTACTATATAGTTGAGAAACCACTCTGGGCTACAGTATATCAACAACATATAGAAAATGGAAATGTAGAATAATGGAATTTAGAGCAGAAAGGGGCCTTTAGAAAGATCTATGTCAATTATTTTAGATGAGTCAAGTTAAGCCTTTTTAGGAATATGGTAGATAAGTGCCAGAACTGTGGTTTGAACTAAAACAGGCATGCTGATTTTAAAACTTCTTCCATTACTTTAATCAGTACTCCCCAGCTTGAATAAGGGTCCCCTGAATATAGCACCTAAGGTAAGTTCTATCTTGAAAAGGTTTGTGGCCATGGCTTTAGTCTAATGAAATGAATCTCCATAATATTCATAGCAAGCTCAAAATTTTCTGGTGTGAGCTCCATCAATGTGAGATTAATGGGAAAGAGAGGGTACAATGAAAAGAGTACTTTAGGCCCCAAAACCTCTATGGGTAGGAAGCAGGCTGAGAAAAACACTCAGCCACAAATACGGACTACATGTACGGGTAATTCAGAGGTCAGAGTCAACAGCTCAGAGGACAAAGACAAGAGCCATGGATAATCATTCTTAGGGAGCAATATATAACCCAAATAAGGGAACTGGAAACTTGAGCTTACTTGGATTTCAGAATTACTGAGGAACATGTGAACCTCCCATTTGCCTTCTTTGAGTGGGGAATGTGATACAAGCTGAACAGGATATGTACAGATTGTTCATTTCTTCTCTCATTGTTCATTATTGGTCTTTCAAGCACCAATTAATTGATTATTCAGCAAGCATCTATAAATAGCTGCTATTTGCTTTGTATCCCAGGTACGAGGATACAAAGTTATAACACAGCCCCTGTTCATAAAAGCTTGTGCTAGAGGGAGAAATAGACAATAAAAGAGACGCTAGAGTCAATATAGCTCCACAATAATGATAAGCACTGTACTTGTGAAACACAGAGGCAGTTATATTTATATATATCCAAATTATATAAGGATAAGAGGAAATTATATAAGGATCCAAATTATATAAGGATAAGAAGAAAGGCTTTCTAGTGCAGATAATGTTTCTGGTATAGATAATTATCTATACTAAGCCTAAAAGATAAATAGCCCAAGTGAAGTAAAGAAAGACAGCAGGAAAAGGAAGGGGCATTAATAAAGGAGATACGAGAGAACTGTGCTGATGAGTTAAGCAAGGACGGGACTAGGAAGCTCTGGGTACTCATACTAAGGAGTTCAATCTAGAAAGCAATAGCAAAATTATATTAAACATTAACCACGGAAGTGACACATTTGGATTTTAGAAAGATTACCTTAGTAGAAACAGGGAGAACAGGCATCAGGAGGATGAACCTGCAGTCAGAGAGGTGAGGTAGGAAGCTACTATAATACTATAGGTACCAGTCAGTGCGGCTCTACACGAGAATGAGTACAGGACGGGAGAGCAAACACGTCTGGAACACTTAAATGTGCGGACAGTGTATTAAGCATTTTACTTATATTAACACTTTTACACTTCACAACAACTCTGATGTGCATACAATTATTATTTCCATTATAAACATTAGAAATAGGTAGAGATACATTAAGTGACTTGTACAAGAAAACATCTAATATAATCTTGGATGTTTTAAATCCCACTCCACAATCTTAATATGTTTATTACATGAGCTTTAAAAAGGATGCTTTTAGTAAGCTTCTCTTTTCCATTTAATAATGCAATTATCTATACTACTGACAAACACCACTATCCCATGAACAAAAATGCTGCGCTTTCCTCACATATGAGTACACTGGTAATCCATTATTCGCACACTGCTGAAATTAAACCAACACTGGATTTTAGGTTTTGGAAATGTCAGAACAACTTTCGTTTGATTCAAGGTTATTGTAGTGCCAAGAACAGAGAGACAACATTGTAACTGCTGTTTCTTTCAGACACCAGAAACTGACTGGGATTTTATAATACGTGTGAAAAAAGGGATTCAGCTTACAATTTTTAAAAAAGAGAAAAAAAAGCGAAAAAGGAAAACATAAAACATAGTTCAGTATAATTTCACATGAAATTTTTAACAGTTTACAGATTATCACTAATTTACACTAACCATAATTTATAACTTAATATAATTACTTAAATTAACTACAATCTGTTACACAAACATATGCCTCATTAGAGAATTATATTTCAGAAGCATAAAGATAGCTTCAGAGTAAAACAGTCTAGCAATAACAGAGGCCTTACCAGCTATACATAAAATGAAGTACAACTCAGATCAGTAATTTGTGATAAAAGGTAGAACAGATTCCAGTTTAATCTTACAAGACCTTTGCTTAACTTCAAAGATTTCAATTTTCTTATCAGCACAGAGTAAGAGTTTATAAAACAGCACTGGAGCAAACAAATACTTTCAGATCCAAGAGATTTATCTCATTGAATTATTCTCTTCTTAAATATGAATGTTACTTTCAAAATAACTTTTTATTTTGTACCTTCCCTTCTCAAAGAGATTTACATTGTCTTTTCAAGACATGTAACTTTAGTTTTCAATAAAAAAATGATAAAATAAGAGGTCATACAAAGTTATAAAAAGTTAGGAAGGTAGGCGCAATGAAGGGTCCCCACCAGTAAGATGGCAAACTTCCGGCTTCTTTTCGGTGTCCTAGGTTCCCGCCGGCGCCACCTGAAGCCCAATCACCTCTCGCCCCCCTCCCAATCCCAGCACCTAGCTAACAGCCACCAGCCCCATAGAAGTAACACCACAATCACCCTATGCCCCTTCCTATATAACCCAGCACCTTTACCTAATAAAGCGGAACTCTCCGGTGAATTGCTGTTGTGTGTCACTCCTTTCCTTTCATTGGTGCCGAAACCCGGGAGACGGGACACCCCAACTGGGCCCCATCTTCCCCCAACACCAGCAGCAGCTTGCCCTCGTCCTCTTTTTCCGGCGCTGGCTCATCACACTCACCACTCCTCTCTGGCCTTTAGGTAAGTTTCTCCCCCACCCCCCGGGGTGGGCCACTCTTCCCCGAGCTATCGCAGTGCCATTGACCGTGATCGTCCGGCAAGGCCCTGACGCTCGGGGATGAGGAGGGAACTCTCCCCGCCTCAGGCCTTCACGGCTGCGGCGGACCCTCAGGCCCCTCCCCAAACAGCCATAAATCCCCGCCTCAAGCCTTTACGGCTGCGGCGGACGCTCAGGCCCCTCCTCCGACAGTCATAAATCCCCGCCTCAGGCCTTCACGGCTGCGGCCGACTCTCAGGCACCCCCCTCCAACAGCCATAAACGAGGTGACTCCTTTGTGGATGAGAACGCTCCCTTTTCCCCCCCTCCTCCTTCTGCTCCGTCCGCCGAAAACGCCTAGCGCTAGGTACCTCGTGACTCCGGCACTCTGCCTTCTTAGGGAAGTCTGGGTGACGACCCACACTTCCCAAGAAATTCCGACTCGTATACGAGTTTCCGCAGACCACCAAGGATCATCGGGGACGCCCTTTGTCTCCTTGTGGTCTGCTTCCAGTCCGAGGATCTCCGTTCGTCTTCCCCTGTTTGTCTCCTTCTCTGTCCTTTAGCCATGGGAGCCTCCTCATCCCTCCCTGAAAGTTCACCTCTTGAATGCCTGCTTAAGCATCTGGCTACCCTCTCCCTGACGCCTGATATAAAACCAAAACTTCTCCGTAAATATTGCTCCCAAGATTGGCCGACATACCCCCTAGACAATAACAACCAATGGCCCGCAGGGGGAACTCTTGATCCTAACATCACTCGCGATCTTTTTAACTACTGCCAGCGCCTGAAAAAATGGAAGGAGATTCCCTATATCGAAGCTTTCCGCCTCCTCCTCTCCCCGCCCCCTCCCAAGTTCTCCTAGCCTGCAAGCCGCCGCCCCCGCAGAAGCCTCCCGTTCACTCCCTTCCCCTTCTTCTCCTACAACAGCCCTTCTCCCTTCCTCCCCAACCATCTCCTCCCCCATCTCACCTCCTCCACCTTCATTCCCTGCAGATTAAGCCTGAGCCTTTCAGCCCCCCTTTAACTAGGTCCCA